TTAGGGCCTCCAAGAGAGTCCCAAGATCCTGGAGCAAAGTGAGAATTTGATTTATATTCCACATGGTGGGGTCGGGACCGGCGGCGCCCGATTGCTCGATCGCTCGATCGCACGATCGCTGGATCGCTCGTTCGCTCGTTCGCTCAATCGCCCGTAGGCGCCGAAATCCCCGCAGTAGGGTGGGGGTCTTGGGCGTGAATGGAGGACTTCAGAGAATAGGGAAGCCAACCAAGTTGTAGTTGGGAGGAGACAGCTTGGTCTACAAGAAGCAACTTTTCTCACGCGGGGACGGACAGCTGGAACGACACAGGTGGCTCTTCGGCTCTTGGGGTGGGGATCGGGTTGGGTGGGGTTCGGACTTTCGTGGTGAGTTACAGGGAAAGGCGGATAGAACCACTCTTCCATGGACACCAGAGCCTACGATGCTTCAGCACTGCTGACCCAGTTGGAGGAAGAGGTACGAGCTGAACCTGAGACCTAGGCGACAAAACGGATCCCTGGGTGGTTGCCACACGCCTAGAGGGAGTTTTGAAGCTCCGGCTGTGCCGGGAGATCGGAGCTCTCCGAAAAGCTGGCGCTTGATGTTTGGTTCTCATTATGTGTGTACGGTGAAAGGATAAATCAGGGTTTCTCAATTTCCCTAGTGCGCTCAGACCCTTTAATATAGTTCCTCATGCCGTGGTGAACCCCCAGCCGTAAAATCATTCCATCTCTACTTCATAACTATAATTTTGCTACTGTCACAAATCAACTATAATTTTGCTACTGTCACGAGTCGTAATGTAACTCCCTGATAAGCAAGCAGGATATTTGATATGAATCCCCAGTGAAAGCATGCTTAGATCCTCCAAAGAGGTCGGGACCCACAGGTTCCTCCTTGTCTCCTTAAAGACAGTAAACCGGGAAGGAAGAAAACAGAAAGATACTACCATGTATGTGTCATGGTAGGATAGGAGCCATGGGAGAAGCGGAAAAACAGAATCACTTTCACATGATCATAAACCTTCCTGTGGCCCACCTCTTATTTATGTAGTGACCTAATTCCACTCATTCATTCCAGAGTCATCGCACGACACTGGCTTGCAGGAAATGTTAGGTTTTTTGTTTGTTTGTTTGTTTTTTAAAATCTGTCTCCCCTGACACTTCACACAGAGCAGAGCAAATTCTATGTGATCACAAATGTTTGTTGAATAATGGATTAGTCTAGTGGAAGATAATTAAGTAAACCAGTACGTTCTACATCAGAATTTGCTTTATTAAACGGGGTGGGGTTTAAGTGTGTTAAGTAGTGTCACAAGAATAGGTGATTCCTTTGTTTGATATTTATTTATTTATTTATTTATTTGAGACAGGGTTTCTCTGTGTAGCCCTGGCTATCCTGGAATTCACTCTGTAGACCAGGCTGGCCTCCAAACTCAAAGATCAGCCTGCCTCTGCCTCCTGAGTGCTGGTATTAAAGGCATGTGCCGCCACTGCCCAACAATATGAGGTGATTCTTAAGCGAGGTTTTGAAGCGGAAGTAGGAGTTGGCCAGGTGAGGAGTAAAAGGAGGTGAGGAGGGAAATGGTAGCAAACCTCCCAGGATGAGCAGGAGAGAGGAGCCACTTCAGGATCTAAGCATGGTGTTCGGGGTAGAGTTACCTCTGGGGAGAGAGGAAGGTTCAGAGTCCTCTGCAAGTTACCTCTGCCCTCTCTTGAATTAAGTGAGGGCTGATGTGTAGTCACCAAAAACAAGTGGCTAAATCTGAAAATTAGGAAAATACTTTTATGGGTCCATCACTTTATGATGGGCGTCATAGTAGCAGGCACCACCTCAGGTGGGAAGATGAAGTTCTGCAGTGTCCTCAGAGGGAGGCCCCGTGTTATTTTTCTGGTTGTCTGAGGAATCTGTTTTAGCATAAATATCTATAAAAAGATTTCTCAACAAATGCTTTGTGTATAGAGAATTGGAGGGAGTTTTCTGTCCTGATTTTAATTTTTCGTGGTTTTTCTCGTTTACTTCAGTACTCAACACACAAGCCGCAGTATAAAAATATTACCATTTTTATATTTAAATATATGAATATATTTATAAATAATATTCACATATTAATATAATATTAACATTATAAGTATGTATAAATAATATTTAAACTGCAGTGAAGTGGGGATTTGAGTGGCAGGCAGTATGACTTGCCATCTGGCCACATCCATAGACGTTCATGGCAGGCCTGCTTACGGCTTTTCAAACTATATTTTGAAAATTAACTTCCAACGTCAATCCTAAGGGGCCTTTTGTATGAGTTTAGCTTTTTCACCAAGGGTTCGAGAATCATCCCGTGCCTCCACCACATCCACACTTGTAAGCTCTTTAGTGGGGAGGGTAGTAGGAAGGAATTCAGAGTTGGTGAAGCATGCAGACACTCTGAGATGTTAGACAACACACTTTCGGAGTAAGTCTTTGAGCAGGATTCTTCCTCTTTGATTCAGGATAGAGGCATATGCCTCAGCGGATCATAAGGAGTAAGCAACTTATTCCTTGTGGAATGTTTAGGCTGATGTCTGGTGTACCCTCCGCACTCGGCATAAGATAGCTGTTATTAACGATGCTATTGCTTTAACTACCTGTAACAATATTTGAGATGTTTAAATGCTGACAGGTATTTCTGTTTGGTGGATCCATGGATATGTATTGGTAAGTGGGCAGGTGTGCATGATGCCTGGAGGCCAAGCGTCCATGTTGGATGCCTTTCTCTCTCGTGAGCCACTTTAGTCTTTGAGATAGTATCTCAGTGAAACCAGACTGGCGTCACTGGCTGGCCAGGAGATCTGGGCATCTGTCTGGTTTTTTTTTTGTTTTTGTTTTTTTCTGTCTCCAGTGATAGAGCCATGAACAGGTTCTGCAGGCCCAGCTTTTACACAGGTGCTGGGAATATGACCTCAGGCCCATTCCTCTCTGGAGCCAGCCCATTAAGAGATAAAGAGAGAGAGAGACAGAGAGACAGAAACAGAGAGACAGAGACAGATTGTGTGTATGTGCTTTTTTTATTTGTTCTCTTTTGTTTTGTTTCCAGATGGGGTTTCTCTGTGTACCCCTGGCTGTCCTGGAATTTACTCTGAAGACCAGACTGGCCTTGAACTCAGAGATCTGCCTGCCTCTGCCTCCCCAGCGTTGGGATTAAAGGTGGGCATCACCACTACTGTGGGTGTATTTGGTTTTGATAGCATGTTTTTTTTTTTCGTTTGTTTTTTGTTTTGTTTTTTACTGTGTTTTCTGACTTTTCCTGAGGAAATGTGGAAAATGTCTACTTGTCTCAGATAAGCACCAATGACGGAGCTAAGCAAGCATTTCATCCCAGTCTCCCCGAGGGAACCAGTGAGCTCACTGAGATGAGTCACTAATCAGAGGGTGCTTACAGGATTCTGAGGAAAGATAATCACATACCACAAAGCCCACCCTGGCGTCAATGAGGTGGCCTCCCGCACTATGGCTGGAGCTCCCTGTTCAACTTGCTGGCAGTTCTACTGAAGAGTCTCCTGTCAGCAAACGCTTACTTCTTGGTATAATCTGGGGCAGAAGTTTTGTAAATCTTTTAGCTTTCTGAGCTTCCTCGGCCTTAAAGTTCTGTTAGTTTCTGAAACCTTGTAAGACTTCCTCTTCCCTCCTGGGGAGAATATTTCAGTTCTGAGGGATAAGCTACACCCACCACCACCACCACCACCACCACCACCACCACCACCACCACCACCACAACCAACACCAAAACCCAAAAACCAAAATCAAAACCAAAACCAACCAAACAAAAAACTACCACAACTGAAATGAAGAAAATTATGGAGTAAAGAAGGAAAGAATGAGTCTCGTTGTGGGACAGTCTGGTCTCTGGATGCTGCCATTCCCTGAATGACGCAAAGGCGGTGTGAACTGTGTGCTAGCCTCCCCCCCCCCATCTTGATAAATCACGAGTCTGTCATTCAAACGGATGTTGTCTGCAGCTCCTCAGTGTTCTCTTATTTTTGGGTCTTGTTGACTAGTGTCCTGCATTGTCCCACACATTCCAGACACTTGGTACACGTTTGTTGAACGAACAAAGAAAAGGAAACTCCTCCCTTTCCTTCTCCCCCTCTTCCTCCTCCTCCCCCTTCCTCTTCCTCCCCCCTCTTCTTCCTCCCCCTCCTCCTCCCCCTCTTCTCCTCCTTCTCCTTTTCTCCTCCTCCTTCCCTTTTCTCCTCCCCTTCCTCCTCCCCTTCCTCCTCCTTCTTCTTCTCCTGCCAGTATTTGTTTTTCAAATAAACACTTCTGTGTTTAGCTCTCGAAGGTCTGGGTATTGCCGACGACAGTCAGTGTGTGGGTCTATAAGCTACAGTCGTTACATCTGGTTTGGGAGTTCGAGCCCAAGGCTGTTGGCAGTCTGAGCTTTAGGAGCTCATGGCTGGGCTGTGTCACGTGGGTGTTCTGGATTCACTCTATGGCTCTTCTGTTTTGTACTAGAGTGACCTTGGGCAAGTTGGCCTGACCGCTTCACTGTTCATCTGTGAAACCAGAGAACACACTGGTTCCTGCATCACGGGCCCCATGGGAAGCAAATGATTCCACATTTGCAAAGCACTTGGAGTCCTACACGAGGCTTTGTAACACTTGGGCTGTGGAAGATGAAAGAGATTTGAGTTTTCCAGTTCCGTGTAACAGTAGTTCACACCTTATAGATGATAGGGATGCTGCACTGAGCCTGGGAAACACTGGGCGGGATGTTTGCACCCCGCTCTCTGTAGTCAGCCATGGCTGAGACTTCGGCGTGCGGAGCCATTGAGAGTCTTGGCTCTGTCTTACTTTGCTCCTGAACTTTCCACCGGCCCAGCGTGCCGGCTGTTTATCCTGTCCTTTTTACCCTGCGTCATTCGCTCCTTTTACGTGGCCTGCTCCTCAGGACAAGGACTTTGCCCTTTGTTTTGGCATCATTTTATAACACCGGGCACGTTCCGGGTGCTATAAAATGTTGAAGAAGAAAAGGGAAAAACTGACAATTCACCTGGAGGTAGCTTGTGCCTACGGCTGCTTGCGGGACTGCTGCTGGAGCTCCAGCAGCCCCTGGGATGTCCAGGAGTCTAGCATGAGGCTCCGGGTGGAACAGGAGGACCAAACTCGCTGGCGGTGAAACTGCATACACAGGTTCGCCAGATACTTTCACTATGACTGGGTGCCTCAAAGAGAGGGGCCAGCAGGGGTGAGGGAGGGGGCAGCAAATTTGACAGTGCAGTGTGGGAAAGATCTGCAAAGGGGAGTGGGTGAGGGAGGCATTCACTGGGCACCAAGGCTGGAAACTCCTGCCCTAGGTGGTGTACACACACAGGCTTGGCCTTATTTGTCCACAAAAGAGGGACCTGTTGTACCTATGCAGGGCCTCCCTAAAAGCTGTGTGACCGGCCTGACCTTTGCCATTATGTAATGTCACCTAAGGGTTAGAGTTTCCAGCTGGGCTTTGTGGATGCTGCAAAAGCATCCAGTTGTTATAGTATTAGCCAGACAGAACTGCTTTGTGCTAGTCCAGGATGCACTGACTTTGCTCTGGCTTTCCGAGGAGTTTTGTCCTAACAGCACACTTTAGAAACACGTCAGACACTTTATTATCTCGTGAGTTGTTTTGCTATCATTTAATTATGCTTTCTACAGAGGGGAGTCCGTACCCTTCTGGGAGTTCTCTATAGTGATAGATTTACACAAGCTTGAGCAAATAGGACAGAGAGGGCTGGGTATCTTCCTCAGATTTCCCTTGGAACCATTTTTCCCCTCCTGTCTCATGCCCTCTCCCTCCCATCTGATGCTAGGGATTGAAGAGAGGGTCACCTGAATTAAGGCTCAGCACGGGACCACCAGAGCGCATCGTCAGCTCCTGGTTTTCTGTAGTAGTTGCGTCTGACACATTCTAACACAGCATCAAAACCAGGAACCTGGTATTGGCTGATGGGTGTGGTCCCTGTGTTATTTTATCATGCACATATATGTGTGCGACTGTAACCAGTCAAGATACAGAACTTGCATGGCCACCATCTTAGATGTGACCTAGGCTGACCCTTTATTATGAAGTCCGTCTCTTGGTTCCTGTCCCTGTGAACTAGGTATTTTCTGTGACTTATGTTCTTTACGAGGGTCTCGCATAAATGGAATCATCCTATATGCTTCTTTTGAGATTGATTTATTCTACTCTCTGTACTGCTCTTCAGACCCATTCAAATTGGTAGAGAAACCAGTAGTCTTGTCTTTTCTCATTGCTAAACAATACCCTAGGTACTTCACATAGTGACACATTTAAAAAAAAATTCTGTGACCATTCTTGTTTAGCACACTAGTGGAGTGAGTGTGTGGGTGTATGTGTGTGTATATGTGTGTCTCTGTGTCTATGTGTTTGTTTCTGTGTACCTCTGTGTATGTGTGTATCTGTGTATATCTGTCTCTCTCTGTGTGTATGTATCTGTGTGTCTCTATGTCTACATGTCTGTGTGTGTCTGTATGTGCATCAATGTATATGTGTCTATGTCTCTCTGTGTATATGTATCTGTATGTGTCTATGTCTACATCGTGTGTGTGTGCATGCGCTCAGGAGACCCTCAACCTGTAGCAGACTAGTTACCTCAGTCCCATAATCTTCTGCAGTGAACACCTGTGTTAAGTCAGGGACTGAGTATTGGTTTCTTGTATCTTGTGCTCAGCCCTTTACTTTCTGGACTAATGATGACAGTCATTCGGGAGACATGATATGAGAAGCAAATATATCCATCACACTTCCGAATATTGCACACTTCTTTTTTTTTAATTTTAGTACTTTGTTTGTTTGTTTGTTTGTTTGTTTGTTTTGGAACATGATGGGAAGGGTGTTTTGTGTTTCTTTAAAGAAAAGAAATTTTCTGAAGTAAATGTGAAATTTCTTAGCATAGACAAAGGCCAAGTGTAGGCTGTCAAAATACTTTGTGGTACTGTCTTGATATCCACACTTTGAGGAAGAACACAAAATAATGATGGTTTTCATGACTCTTCACACCAGAATTCCTTCATAATTGAAACTTCCTAAACCTGGGAGTTAAAGTCAACCTCAGCCAAGCGTATGTTGTTTTGGCAATAGTGGGCTCAATCATCTGGTTCTATTCCTCCTGTTAGGACCCCAACTTTTCTCCCTGAAGTCAAAGCACTCTCCCCACTGACACCCCCTCCACTGCCCAAGCTCTTGTTCCAAGCTCCCAGTTCTGACCCCTACACCACAGAGGCATAGACCATACTGTCTGCATAGTGACTGTTATGGTTTGGATCCTAATATCCACCCTCCACCCTGGAAGATCCAGGTGCTAACAGCTTTGTTGAAACCTGTTGGGACTATGTCTGTTGGTAGAACCTTTCTAGGAGGTGGGCCTGTCTTGGGTAGTTTGGACACTTGGACAGAAGTTGATTAATGATGCAGTGTTCAACACAAAGTAGGCACCCGAAGACAAATCCGTGTGACATCTGCTTCTCCACCCTTATGGGCGTGTGTCATTCAAATCTTTCTGAGCATCAGTTGCCTAGCTTATACGTTAAGGTAATAGTAATTCCCCCCAAAATGGGGAGGACTATAGATTTACCCAGCAGTAATACTGTCATTGTCATTTTTTTTTGTGTGATTTCTTTAGTTATAAGGACTTTTCAGCTCTCTTGATCTCTTGCCTCTAGCTTCTCTCTGTCCCCTCAGCCTCTTCCCTCCCCTTCCCCCTCTCTCCACATGGTCATGGCCGGCCTCTACTCTACTTTTCTTCTTCTTCTTCTTCTTCTTCTTCTTCTTCTTCTTCTTCTTCTTCTTCTTCTTCCCCCCCCCCTCTCTCTCTGTCTCTCTGCTTCTACTACTCTCTTGGCTCCTCTCCCCATGCCCTGAATAAACTTTATTCTATGCTAAAAAAAAAAAAAAAAAAAAAAAAAAAAAAAAAAAAAAGGACTTTTCAACTGAGGAGGCCATTTTTAACAGGTTATGGCCCTGAAAGGAGATACAGACCCCAGATCTTGACTATTAGGCCTTTGGTGTTTGCCTCTCCATCATTAGAGGGAATGGGGCCTTTCCAGATTTACCAATAGAAAACGTTGCTCATGCATAGACATTAAGAAAAAAAGTATCTTCCTTTTTTAGGTCTTAAAAGATATGCATGGCATGATGCACCTTGAATTTTGGATAAGCAGTAAATTATAGCTGGATTCAATAACAAGCAAGCTAGACTCTGGCTTCCGCCAGCAGTGAAGAACCATAGAAAAGTGAAATGTCGCCAGGCAATGGTGGCACACGCCTTTAATCCCAGCACTTGCGAGGCAGAGGCAGGCAGATTTCTGAGTCTGAGGCCAACCTGGTCTACAGAGTGAGTTTCAGGACAGCCAGGGCTACACAGAGAAACCCTGTCTTGAAAAACAAACAAACAAAAAAAGAAGAAGAAGAAGAAGAAAAGTGAATGTCTCTTCACTGGGCTGACTGGTTTCAGCCACAAAATACCAAATGATGTTTTCTAGTACGAATGATACTTCCCTACCAATTGGTTGCATTTCATGGAGCACAATTTCAACCAATTTCAGGGTGTCTCTATTAGTGCTCTGCCTGGTGACACTAAATGACCCCTTTCATGCTCTGAGCTACAGAACTAAAGGTGGTTTGTTTAGGTCACGGCATACATTTAAACAAAGCTGTGGTACTTTAACCATCAGAGGAGAAACTGAGGAGGAGGCTAACGTCACAGTTTCTAACTCAACCCTTGAGTAACTTCTCTTTAAGTGACAGGAAATCTGTGCTTACACGTATGTCAATGTAACATCTTCCCAAGAAGCCCTTAAACTCTAGCTACTGAATGGGGTTCACTTGGATATATATGAATTTCACAATGCCATCATTACTGTGTGTGTGTTTTGTGTGTGTGTGTGTGTGTATGTGTGTGTGTGTGTGTGTGTGTGTGTGTGAGATGTGCTTAAGTGTGGAGGTGAAAGGACTCTGAGGACATGTGTCTCTCCTCTCCAACTCTTAGGGATTGAGTTTGGGTTGCCAGGCTCCTGCAGCGAGCACCTTACTTGCTGAGCTATCTCTCTGGCCCTCGTGATCTTATATATAGAAAAAAAAAATCCTTAAGACTCCACAAAAAGTGTTACAACTAGTAAATAATTTCCATGATGTTACAGCTTAAAAAGTCAGCTTACGAACATCAGTTGTTAATCACACTACACAGGTAATATCCCAAAAGGAGTTCAACACCAACCACTCACCCTCAAAACCACACTTCAGCAAAGTATTTAGGCATAAAGTTGCAATAGAAAACTATAAAACACTGATGACAAGAATTGCAGATGACAAATAGGTATAAACATATCATGATTTCATGGATGGGAAGCTTCATGTCACTAAAACATTCATAGGACTCAAAGTAACAGTCAAGACTGGCCCTCTCAAAGTCCCATTTACTTAAAACGAAATAACAACAACAAAAAACTAAAACCAAAAACCAATTAGAAAAACAACCCTGAAATTCATGTGGTACCACAGAAGATTCAAAATAGCCAAAGTGACCTTCAGAAAGAATAAAAATAGAGACATACTTCTTGCTTTTGAAACACATTAGAAAGCTTAAGTAGTTAAAGCTATGTGATGTTGGCCATGCGGATAGCTGCATAGAACAGACTAGAACAGAGATCTCAGAGTTCAATCAGTGCAGTGTGGTCCATTGATGCTCAACGTGACTGATCCTGATACACACCAGGAGAAAAAGATTGCCCCTTCAATAAATCGTGTGGGGGAAAATTGGTAACTACACAGTAAACAATAAAATTGTGTTCTCATCTTATAGCACACACACACACACATGCAATACCTTTAAAATGGCTTAAAAACATGGCCATAAGGCATAAAAATATCATCTTAGAAGAAAGCATAGGTTGGAGGGTTTTTGACATTGGCCTGGTAATGACATCAGAAGCACAGTGAGACGATATTAGCTTCATTGTACAGCAAAAGAAATGGGGGAATGGGTACTGTAGAATGGGAGAAAATGTTTGCAAACTACATATCTCTAAAAGAAATAATCCAACCATAAATGAATCAAAGGCTTGGAGATCATTCTCTGAGGGAGGCGCACAGGAGGCCAGTAGCGCCATAAGATGCTGACCTACCTACCCATCAA